TGGGGAGAGTGAGCTTCGTGGCGGCAGAGACGTGCCTCCAACACAGCTATACATTCGAATCCCCATTTCACAGATCTAAACACTAGAACGAGGCCCGGAACATAGCAGGTTTTCGTGTTTCAAGGACTGTTTGTTGAATGAATGCTTGCCCCGTGGCTGAAGCGGCAGGGAGTGCACCACGCCGCCCTCTGGTGGCAAATGGAAAACTTGCACCGTGAAACTCAACCTGCTTGGCTCTCAAATTTCTACCAGATCTTTTCATGCAGTCTGATAATTATGGACTAATGCTAGATATTTTAACTCCATTTTATACATACACACAAAATATTTTTATGATTATTTTTGAACTTTCAAATTTTATTTTCAAAGTTTTTAAAAACGTTATTTAAACGAGGGTATCACCATTTGGGAAAACTCACAAATCCCAAGTGAAAAACTCCATGTAATCAGCACCCTGGGGGAGAAACAGGACCTTGCAAGCTCCCCAGGACCACCCCGCAGGCCCCCTGTGTTCACTCTTTCTCTGCATAATCATCCTGAGTTCTAACAGCAGAGACTGGCTTTGCGTGTTCTAGAATTTCCTATAAATGGAACGATGCATGTTAATGAGATTCGTCCACGTTGTATGCAGGTAGAGTCTGCCCGTTTTCATTGCTGTATAGTATTCCGTGGTGTGAAGGCACTGCCGACCGTGCGAACTGCTGATGGGCACTACAGTTGTTCCCAGTTTGGGGCTGTGTTAAATTGGTAGGGCTGCCATCACCCAGTGGCACTGCCTGGGGACTTAAACAACAGAAATTAATTTTGTCCTAACTCTGGAGGCTAGAAGTCTGAGGTCACGGTGGTGTCGGCGTTGGTTCCTTCAGAGGCTTTCCCTCCCCGGTTTCCAGATGGCTGCCTCCTCCCTGTGTCCTCACAGGGTCCGCCGTCTGTGTGGATCTTTCTCTTAATCTCCTCTTCTTTGTTTCAATCCTCTCCGGAGGATATGGTCACTGAATTTACAGAGAGGGAATTGATGTGCGGGAGAAACATCAATCAGTTGCCTCTTGTACACTCCCTGACCAGAAATTGAACCCGCAACCTAATTAGGTACTGTGACCAGGAATCGAACCCTCAACCCTTTAATGTATGGGATAACTCGCTAACCAATTGAGCCGCTTGACCAGGGCCTTAATCTCTTCTTACAAGAACACCAGTCATACCGGATTAGGGCCCATTCTAATAACTTCATTTTCACTGAACTCCCTCTGTAAAAGGCTTGGGTACAAATAAGGTCACATGCTGAGGTATGGGGGCTTTGGACTTCAACATATACATTTTAGGGGAGGTGGCAAACACAAATCAGCCCATAAGAGAGGCTGTAATGTTAAAGTATCTGTGGACCTTCTGATACATGCCATGTCTTTTGACATGGTGAATGTGGCCACGCATTTCTCTTGTGCAAATGCCTCAGAGTGGATTGGCTGGCTCATGGGGTGTGAGCATGCGTGAACTGGAGTAGAACTTGTCAAACAGTTCTCCAAATGGCTGAAGTGTATTCCACCCCAATCCCTGGCGTGGTTGAGAATTCCGGTTGCTCCATATTCTTGTCAGCACTTGATAGTGTCAGTTTCTTAAATTTGAGACATTATGTGGTTAGTAAACAAAAAATAGTATTTGCGTGTTTTTTATTTTTATTTTTAGAGAGGGTAGGGGAGGGAGAAAGAGAGGGAGAGAAACATCAGCGTGTGGTTGCCTCTCATGCACCCCCCACTGGGGACCTGGCCTGCAACCTGAGCAGGTGCCCTGACTGGGAATTGAACTGGCAACCCTTTGGTTCACAGGCTGGTGCTTAATCCACTGAGCCACAACAGCCAGGTTTATTTGCATAGTTTTAATACAGCCTGAATTTCCCAAGGATGCAACTACTTCCTTCTAGGGAAAACTGTGGCACGTTTTGTTCACAGAGGTGCTCTGGCTGGTGTGGCTCAGTAGACTGATCACCAGCCTGCAGACCAAAAGGTCACTGGTTCAATTCCCTGTCATGGCACCTGCTTGGGTTTCGGGCCAGGTCCCCAGTTGAGGGCACGGGAGAGACAGCCACACATTGACGTTTCTCTCCCTCCCTTCCCCTCTCTCTAAAAAATAAATAAATAAAATCTTTTAAAAAATCCAAAGTGTTTCACTACAGTCTCTGTGTCAATCTATTGTCCTGGGTGCTGTGTTCACACAGCACACACGCATACACACGCACACACACATGCACGGGCACACAGAGCCCCTTCTCAGAATCTCAGCTGCAACCAAAGGGTGTCGACCATATTCCACTGGCGGGTTTTCAAGTTCCCTTACACTCAGACACATTCATTACAAGTAGGTAAAAGCATTTGACCATTCATCTTTTCCAGGGTGGTTGTACTAGCGCCTTTGTACACATTTTGCTTTATTATAAATTACTTTCATTTCTCCTTTACGTTACAGTTAGATTATTATATTGATTTTTAAAATGATGTATGCTAGTGGGACATACTAGCCATGCATTTCATCTCGGGAGAGTAAAAGGAGTCTTAGGAAAATAGCTTTTGTTGTAAAGGGCGTTTGGGAAACCATGGGGCTGGGACCTGCCAGCTCAATGGGCTGGGGAGATCGTGAGCGCTCCAGCAGAGCCGGGCTGCTTCAGTTGTTCATTACATGCTGAGGGCTACCGTGTGCATGGCCCTGGGATCTTCAGGGCTGGGGACACAGTGGTGACAGAGACAACCCAGCCCTTCCCTTCCCTGCAGGGCTCAGAGTCTGGGGGCATACAAGCCCGTTCCCGGAAAATGAGGACATGGGCTGTCCTGGGGTGAAGGAATGTAGGGGGAGTAGGAATCCCAGAGGGCCACCTGCCCTAGTCTGTAGTCAGGGAGGGCTTCCTGGAAGAGGTGCTGATATCTGAGCCAAGTCTTCAGGATGAGGAGGACTTAACTAGAAGAAAAGGCTGGAAGGGTATTCCAAGCAGGAGGAACAGCCTGTGCTGAGGCCCAGACAAGAGGGAGAATGGGTTGTCTTCAAGGTACCAAAAATACTGTGCCCTGGGCAGCCTCTTTCTGTCCAAAGTGGAGGCTTTCCAGTGAGGCTGCTGAGCCCTCCCTTCCATGACCATCCAATGCCCTGGGAGGCCCTGGAAGTCTCTCACATTGCTGTATTCTTTTTTTTTTCTTTTTAAGATTTTATTTGTTCATTTCTAAAGAGAGGGGAAGGGAGGAAGACATGGAGAGAAACATCGATGTATTGGATGTGGGAGAAAAACATCAATGTGTGGTTGCCTCTTGCATGCCCCCAACCAGGGACCTGGCCAGCAACCCAGGCATGTGCCCTGACTGGGAATAGAACCAGTAACCTTTTGGTTTGCAGGCTGGCCTTCAACCCACTGAGCCACCAGCCAGGGCATGTTCATTTTCTTCAGGAGCGCTTCCAAATTGTGTAAACTTCGGGCCCTATTTAACCTGGCTCCGCCTCTGTTCCTTTGGGCTTTATAGTAAATTAACCTTTGATCCAGCAAGTTGTCTTTTTAGAAGTCGTAAACTTCCTCCATTTATTAAGAAGTAACAATTTTTTCAGGACTTGTGCCAAGCAACTTATATGTAGTAATCACCGATCATTGAATTCTGCACAACAGACCCAGGAGGGAGGTGTCACAATGTCTGTTTCACAGATGAAACAACCGAAATCCAGAGAATTGTCCTACTTTCCCCAAGGTCACACAGTCAGTAAAGGACAGAGCCAGGATTCAAACCCATGCCTCCTGGCTTCAGAAGGTCCACAGTCCACCGTCTTAATCATAACATTGAGTCCTCTTTGAGCAAAGTTACGGATCATGTACCCAGAAAGATGTGTGCTTCTAGAAGTTCAAGGCAGCATCGTGGGCAATCTCCCCCAACTGGGAACTACTCAAACCTCTGTGAGGCCAGTGGGGCAAATTACGGCCATCTGCAGGACAGAACACTACCCAGCGGTTTAAAAGGTAGTGAACTTTTTCCCTTGTTAAGTTAAAGATATAGAATTTCAGTCTTTTTTTAAAAAAGACTTTATTTATTTGTTTAGAGACATGGGAAGGGAGGGAGAAAGAGAGAGAAACATTGCTGTGAGATAGAAACATTGATCAGTTGCCTCTGGCACACCCCCAACCAGGGACCCAACCTGCAACCCAGGCGTGTGCCCTGACCACAGTCGAACCAGCGACCTTTTGCTCTTTGGGACCATGCCCAACCAACTGAGCCACACCATTCAGCGTCACTTTCCACGTTTTAAATTGTGAAATATAAGTACAGTACTAGCAATCTCAGAAAATCTGGTCTGCCCATTTATAGCTGTCATCACCTCCTGTACGTTTTACACAGCATTTATCATTGCTTACAATAATTGGTGTATTATGCCTAAGTTTTGGTTAATGCATTATACCCTGGGCTCTGAAGCCAAATCCAGCTGATTCTTAGCTTCTTTCAGTTCCTGCAATACACCAAGCTCACTCACCACAGGGCCTTTGCACAGGCTGTGTGCCCTTTGCCTGGACAGCCACCCCCTCTCACCCTTAGGCCTCTCCTGCTCATTGAACAAGGCCTCGCCCACATTTCTGTTACCGTTTCTGCTTATTTCACATTTTCTTGGGCCTTCCCTCGTGAGAGTAGGTTGGGGTCTACCTCATTCATCACTTTGACACCCCCATTTCTCCCAGTACAAGCCTGGTAGGTCAGGCTTCCAGGAGTCATTGACCCGTGCCTGGCGTGGACCTAGTTATAGGAACCAGGAAGTGAGGCGAGCATGTAGAGGCCACAGAGGAAAGAGAGTGTCTCCATTCTCTAAAAGAAGATAATCCAGGCAGAAGGAAGCTGTACAAACTTGCAAAATACCCTTGAGGACCAGGTCAACCCACTCCCGCGTCCACCCGCGGCGCCTTTAAGGGTCCCAGAAACGGGTTGCAGGACCGGAAATGATCCTCTTTATTTCCCCCCTTCACGTGGTGCAGGCGGGAAGTGACGCGCGCGGCCCGGGAGCTGCGGACGCGGTGGCCGACGGAGCAGGAGTCGCAGACGCCGCGGGGTCTCCGGGACAGGTGACCGGGAAAGGGGCCGACAGCGCGCCCGGGGAGGGCGGGGCCTGACGCCCCACGTGAGGGTAGCGAGCGCGGGCTGGGGAACGCGCAGCCTGCGGGGGCGGGGTCAGGGTACTCTCCGGGGGGCGGAGACAGGACGCCCACATGGGGAACTAGAGGGGCGCTGGCGGGCCGGGACGTTGGCCGTGGGCAGGGCCCGCGCGTGGGTGGGCAGCTGGGGGTGGGGTCGAAAAGTTGTGCGTGTGCTGGAGGCGGGGCCAAAATTGCCCCGAGAGCTAGGGGCGGGGCCTGGACGCTGGCGGAAAACATAGGGGGCGGGCCAGAAACTTTTGCCTGATCTGGAGGTGGGTCCGGATCGTTGGCGGGGCGGTCGGGGCGGATCTAGAAGCTGACGTAAAGGGGAGGGCGGGGTCAAAGTTGCGGCGATTTAGGGGCGGGCCCAGAGTCCGGGCCGGGCATGCTGTGGTGGAGCCAGAAAGTTTTGCCGGAGCTAGAGGCGAGGTCGGACCTTTGGCCTGGAAGCCAGCTTCCCAGCCAGAATCTCGGCTGGGTGTGTCAGGGGAGAGGCAGATCTAGATGCAACGAGGCAGCGGCGGGACTCACGGGGCGTGACCAAAAAGTCGTTGGGAAAATCGGAGGCGTGACCAGAGTGATAGTTGGCGAGTCGGGGCGGGGCCAGTGAGATGACGCGAGAAGGAGGGGGCGGTCTCCAGCTGTTGCTTAGGGATCAGGGGGCGGGGCCAGAGGATTGGCTTGGAAAGTCGGAAGCGGGGCCACCTAAATGGACGCGCGTGTGGGCGGGGCCAGAAAGTTTGTTCTGGCCCGGGGGCGGGGCCGTGGCTTTCCTGACAAGGTGAAAGCGGGAGCTTCGCCTGTAGTGCTACGGGCCGGCGAAGTTTTGTCCGGCATTGGGGCTGGGAGAATTTTCACTGGGGAGGTCGGGCCAGGCTCAGGAAGCCTCGCCAGTGGGTACCACACCTGTTTTGAAATCTTTGCGCTGAGGCAGCAGCTTTTTCTCAGAATGGTGGGCAGGTGGCTAGGACAGCCCAGGCGTGGGTTTAGGATCTCTGAAGGCCAGGGCATCATCCTCTAGGAGTGGCGTTCCAGCTTTTTTTTTTTTTAAAGATTTTATTTTATTTTTATTTATCTTTAGAGGGGAAGGGACGGAGAGAGGGAGAGAAACATCAATGTATGGTTGCCTTTCGTGCATCCCCTGCTGGGAACTGGCCTGCAGGGAACCAGTCTGCAACCCAGGCATGTGCCCTGACTGGGAATCGAACTGCGATTGGTTGGCAAGCCCGTGCTCAATCCACTGAGCTACACCAGCCAGGGCTTTTTTTTTTTTTTTAGTGTGGGTTTTGATTTTTTTTTTAATGTTTCTGAACTTTTCCTGGGAAAGAGGTGGACCTATAATGTTCACAGGGAGGTGGGCCTGAAACTTTCATGTACAAGTTCAAGCGAGAGGATGTAGTGAAAACTCTCTTGAGATGGAGGCCCATATTCAAACTCTCAGCACAGGATTGTAGGGGCTAAACTAGGAAACTTCGTTTGGAAGGAAGCAGGGTTAGATGGTTTTTTTTGTTTGTTTTTATATTTAGCGGTGGAGTGGAGCCAGAATTTTCCCCAGGTGGGCATGACTCCAGTGTTTACATGGAAATGGGTGGATCTAAATGTTAACTGGGGCCAGAGCCTAAATTTTCCAGGCGAGGGGGCTGGCTGGTATATCATGAAGAGCACTTGAGAGTGAGGACCAGATTTCTCTTGGGGTGTACGTGTGTGAGTACGCCAGGATGGGAGAGAGGAAGCAGATTTGGGGGTGGGGCATGGGCCGTAGTTTTTCTGTTTCTTTTGCCCTTAGGAACCCCCAGTGCTGTGTGCAGATCCTGCAGGGAAGGTTTACTGGAACCCTGGCCCCCGCCAGCCAGCGGAATGGTGAGATAGCAAGTTTGGATGGAGTTTGAGCTCTGCAGCAGGGGCTTGGGAGGAGGGGACCCAAGTGCCAGACTGAGCCTCTGGATTGAATGTCATTGGGATGGGTGTAGGTCTTTTTTACAGTCTCTCAATGGTTTCCTTATCTCAGTCAGCCACGCTGGATCTGAAATCAAAGGAGGAGAAGGATGCCGAATTGGACAAGAGGATCGAGGCTCTTCGGCGGAAGAATGAGGCCCTCATCCGGCGCTACCAGGTGCCCTAGCCCTGCCCTGGGAGACCCCACCCCTCTCCTCCCCGCAGTGAGTTTCCCTCACCTCTCCCTTCCTTCCAACCTTTTCATGGTTCCCCTTCACTCTCAGGATAAAAGCCAAAGGCCTTAGCCTGCCATTCTTTCCTTCATGCCATCATTCCATCATTCATTCACCAAGGCCTTCGCAGTGCCAGGCCTTGTGCTCAGTGGTGCTGGGGAGACAGCTGTGACCGAGACAGCCTCTTCTCTCCAGGGTTGACAGTCCGGTGGGGGCACAGATCTGTCTCCAGTCAGTGATGATTCAGGGTGGGCAAGGCTAGGATGGGGGAGCTGAGAGGTCTTTGGGAACCCAGAGGGCGTCCTTCTTCCAGCCTGCAGGATATTAGGGAGGGCTTCCTGGAGGAGGGGATTCTGAGACCTGACAGGGGAACAGACATTAGCCAGTTGGAAAAGTAGCGCAGAACATATTTCAAACAGAGGAAACAGTTTGTATAGAAACTTGGTGTTTAAAGTTAGAGCGTCAGTTGGGGAATGTTGACCTGGGGAGGGCAGCAGGGGCCAAGCTGAGAGATTGGACTTTTTCCGGAGGGTACTGCAGGACTGTGGAGGACTTTGAGAGGAGTGGGACCAGGCCAGAAGAGCTTTTTAGGACGGCCCCTCTGGCTGCTATGTGGTGATGGATGGGAGGGGGCGGTACTGGAGACCAAGGAGGAAGCTGAGGCTGGGACCTTGCGGGGAGAGGAGGTGCTCGTTTGGGTCAGGGCTGTTGGTAGGGAGTCAGGGACCTCAGTGGTTGGAGGTGGGGAGGAGGGCAGAGTCCAGGACGAGGCCCAGGTCCCTGCCAGAGGTAAAAGAGTAGGTGGTGGGGCTGTCCCTGGGAGGAGGGACGGGGAGGAGGGTAGGGTTTCATTCATTCATTCATTCATTCATTCATTCAAAAAAAAGTACATAGAGTTTTCTCTTGTATGCCAGGCGGTGTTCTCAGTCTGGGGTATACATGAGTGAACAAAACAGATAGATGTCCCTGTTCTCTGTTGGCAGATTCTGTTGCAGGGGGAGGGAGACAATAGGCAAAATATACATAGTGCCAGGTATGGACAGGGGGAGGGGCAAGAGAATGGCAGGGGAGCTGGTTTCTATAAGCTCGTCAGGAGAGGCCACCCTGAGAAGGGGAACATTTGAGCAAAGACCTGGAGAAAGTGGAAGACTGGTGCATCTCTGGGGGAAGAGTGTTCCTGGCAGAGGAAACAGCAGGTGCAAAGGCCCTGGGGTGGGTCTGAGCCTGGTATGTTGTAGCAGCAGTGAGGAGACCGGAGCGAGTGAAGGGGCAAGGGCGGGGGAGGAGGTCACGCTGGTAAGCAGATCAGACCATAGGCCGTGGGGGAGCCTGTGGCTCCTACTCACAGACAGGCAGGCACCACAGGAGGGTCCTGAGCAGGGGAGTGGTGTGCTGCTGTTTTGGGGAAGGTGCTGAGCTGGCCAGCTTTCCTGTCTAGAGCTCAGGAGGGAGGCCTGGGCTGGGGCCAGACTTGGGAGAAGTGCTGGGGGCTGTGGGAGTCCGCCATGCTCAGGACCCTGACACTCGCTTACCTCTGGTGTCCGCTCCTAGGAGATTGAGGAGGACCGTAAAAAAGCAGAACTCGAGGGCGTAGCTGTGACAGCTCCCCGGAAGGGCCGCTCGCTGGAGAAGGAGAATGTGGCAGTTGAGGTGGTGAGTTCCACACCAGGGTGGGGATGCCTGAGAGCAGGGAGGGAGAGAGAGCTGATCCCCGAGAGCCCTCCCGGTTGCCCCAGGCCTGTGGGTGGCGTTCGTCCTGGCAGCTGCCCCTTGGCCATCCAGTCCCCCTGCTCCAGTAACTGGACTTTTCCTCCCTCCCCTTCTTCCAGGAGAAGAACCAGGGTCCCTCCCGCAGGACTCCTGGGACCCCTCGGCCCCCAGGGCCCAGCAGGGGAGGCCGGACTCCCCCTCAGCAGGGAGGCCGGGCAGGCATGGGCCGGGGGACCCGCAACTGGGAGGACAGTCCGGGGGATCAGCCCCGAGGAGGAGCCGGGGGCCGTGGCCGGCGGGGCCGGGGCAGAGGGTCCCCTCATCTCTCTGGAGGTGGAGATCCCTCAGCTGCTGACCGCAAATCCAAGGTAGGAGCTGGAAGGGGCCGGAGGCCTCTGAGGCTCGCCGTTGTCATTCGCCCTTCTTCCTCCTCTTGAAGGGACCGTTTGCCCATCTGTCCACCCTTCTGTGTCTCTGCCTCGCTTTCAGTCCCTCCATCCGGCTCTTTCCCTCTCACCTCCCCGACCAGCGCCGCTGCAGACTCTCCCTGGCTCTTCCCACCCGCCTTCCTGCCGCCCCCGCCTCTTCCTTCTCTTGCTGGCGGTGTCCGTGTATCTGCCTCTGTTGAACTCTGTGTGTCTCCACTGTGCGTCCGGGGGCGTGTGCCTTCCCTCTGTTGTCTGTCTCATTCCCAGCATTTGTTTGTGGGGAGCAGTGGCGTTCTTTTTTTTTTTCCTTTAAATGTTTTATAAGCTTATTTTTAGAGAGAGAGGGGGAGAGAGAAAGAGAGGGAGATAGACGTTCTTGTGGTAGAGAAACATCAATCAGTTGCTTTTCGCAAGCCCCTAGCCAGGGACCTGGCCTGCAACCTAGGCATGTGCTTTGACTGAGAATCAAACCGGCGACCTTTTGGTTTGTGGGATGATGTCCAACCCACTGAGCCACACCAGCCAGGGCACAGCAGTGACGCTCTTATTGAAACTACTCCCAGTGCCCTGACACACAGGGTGGGAGACTGTCTCCATTGTGACTTGGAGCCCACCGTGGACTTGGGGTCACCCCGGTTCTATTCGTCCCTGTCCTTGGGTGGCTCACTTCCCCTCTAGAAGCCTCTGGGTGCTTCACTCTTAAGTGGGAAGAGTATCTGGTTTGAAGGTTATTACAAACGTTCTGTGACATCAGACATGGAAACCCTCAGAGTAAGTGCTGAAGGAACGGGACTCGCGGGTGTTTATTGTCTGTGTATGTTACGCTGCTGTAACAAAAAGACTGCAGTTCTATCAGGTGGAAGTGCATTTCTCTCCTATGCTGAGCTCTGGCCACGAAAGCGTCACCTCGAGCAGCTCTGCCGTGCGCTTGTGTAAAATTCGGGCATCGTGGAGGAAGGGGAGGAATGATTGTTGGGGGGTGGACACCAAGCCATCTGCCCAGTGATCACTGTCGTTATTAATCTAGCAGCCGTGGTGTGTCCGGGTCCCCCATGCCCCTCGCAGGTTCTGTGTTTTGGTAGAAAGAGTCCCGGCTGAGCTTTATTACAGTGAAAGACTCCAAAGGAAATCGGCAAAGGGGAAACACGCATGGGCTGACCTCTGGGGAGGCCCGCTGGCCTGGCGGGGGTCAGGCAGGCCGAGTTGAATCTCTCAAGCACTGAACCGTGACAGGTGCCTGAAAGGTCACTTTCCAGGGAGACCTAGTGCCCAGGGTCTCTACTGGGGGCCGGCCACGGAGGTCCCCTCTGCTTGGCGTGTACCCAAGTTCCCGACCCCAGAGTGGTGTTCAGCATGCCCTACCGTTGGCACAAACTGTGGAGGCACGGTGAACCCCCCTATAAGTGAACTTGGCTGAGAACGCGCTGGCGCTGAATTCCCAGACGCGGGTCAAGGGCTGGCCTTTAAAGTCGCAGACACTTAGGCCCATCACGTTAGTTAACTCGAAAGCACCGAGGAGCTGAGTGGTTCGTGCTGACCCTGGTGTCTCTGTCCCGCCCCCAGGAGTGGGAGGAGCGGCGCAGGCAGAACATCGAGAAGATGAATGAAGAGATGGAGAAGATTGCGGAGTATGAGCGCAACCAGCGGGTCAGTGTCAGGGTGTCCCCCTCGTGGGGCAGAGCCGTCTGGGCCGGGTGAGCCTGCCAACCCCCGGTCGATTCCCGTGCCCGCAGGAAGGCGTGCTGGAGCCCAACCCGGTGCGGAACTTCCTGGATGACCCGCGGCGGCGCGGCGGGCCCCTGGAGGAGCCTGAGCGGGACCGAAGGGAAGGCAGCCGCCGGCACGGGCGCAACTGGGGTGGTTCTGACTTCGAGCGGGTGCGCTGTGGCCTGGAGCAGGAGCGGCAGGTGGGTGCCGCGGCGGGAAACCCACTTCGGCCTCGGCCGCGAAGGTTCCTGCGTGGGCGCTGAACGCCAGGCGCTGCAGCCAGCGGGACAGACAGGGCGAGGCAGCGACTCTTTCGCCCCAATTACTTGTTGGTTCTGGAGCCAGGACTACTGCTTTCTTTTGGCAATGTCCTCTCATTCCTCTTATTATTAATATTTACTGCCCAGCTGGGTGCCAGGCACTGTCCCAGGTGCTGAGGGACTAAGGGATTTATTTTTTAAGATTTTGTTTATTCATTTAGAGAGACGGTAAGGGAGGGAGAGAAACATCGATTGGTTGCCTCTTGTGCGCCCCTGGCTGGGGACTCAGCCCACAACCCAGGCCCGTGCCCTGACTGGGAATCAAACTAGTGACCTTTTTTTGGTTGACAGGCCAGTACTCAACCCACTGAGCCACACCCGGCAGGGCTGGCTAAGGGTTTTAAACAGGCAAAACCCTGGCCCTAATGAAATTTATTCTGGTGGGAGATAAATGAATGGATATATAATGATATGTCAGGTGATGCCAAATGTTGTGAAGAAAAATCTGGCAGGGTGAAGGGATAGAGAGATCTGGGAAGGCCTCTCTGAGGAGGTGCCCCATAAGGAGACCTAGTTTTTTTTTTTTTTTTAAATATTTTATTTATTTATTTTTCGAGAGAGGGGAAGGGAAGGAGAAAGAGTGGGAGAGAAATATCAATGTATGGTTGCCTCTCATGCGTCCTCTGCTGGGAACTGGCCTGCAACCCAGGCATGTGCCCTGACTGGGAATCGAACCTCGATACTCTGGTTCGCAGGCCCGCGCTCAATCCACTGAGCTACGCCAGCCAGGGCAGGAGACCTGGTTTTAATTGCTGCCTTTGTGACCTTGGGCAGGTGTCTCTACCTGAGCTTGGAGGACATGGGGTGGAGTGGGGCGGGTGGTGGAACGGGGCTCTGACTGCCTGTCTGCTGTGGCCCAGGGCCGGCGGGCCAGCCCTGGCAGAGCCGGCGACATGACCCTGTCCATGACGGGCCGTGAGCGGTCGGAGTACCTGCGCTGGAAGCAGGAGAGGGAGAAGATCGACCAGGAGCGGCTGCAGCGGCACCGCAAGCCCACCGGCCAGTGGCGGCGGGAGTGGGATGCCGAGAAGACGGATGGGATGTGAGTCTCATCCCTGCCTGCCCGTTTGGCCCCTTGACCTTGGCCCTGACTTCCACCTCCTTTGACTGCTCTGGTTTCTCACCCCGTGGATCAGCTAGCAGTTACTAGGGCAGCGCTGCCTGACCACCAGGTCTCAGTGGCGCATAAAAGCATTTCTTCCTCCCGTGTGCACGGGTCAGCTGGGTCGGGCTAACCCAGGCCTGACTGTTCACTGCGGGCCCGGCAAGCAGGTCGAACTCAGTTCCACCTCGCACGTGTTCATCCTGGGGTTCAGGTTGAGGCGGCAGCAGCCTGGGGAAGAGCAGGTCGTGACGTTCGTGGATGGGCAAGAGGGAGAGTGGACACACTCCTCTGTTCTGTTAGCCAGCGGACGCGGCATCTTCGGGGTGGGAACTTGACCTCCCTCTCTAGTGGGTGGCACGGCCGTGACTCTGGGGCTAAAGGCGTGGTCATCGGTTCTCACGCCCCGAGGGCAGGAAGAATTGCCAGCAGTGATTGGGCCTTTGCGTCCTCCCTTCAGCCCGCCCCTCTGTATCAGCCAACCCGAACCCCTAGCCCCAGCGGTGGCAACCCCCTCAGGTCTGGCTCTGTGCCCTTTCGGGTCCAGGGAGAACCCAGAGAGTCAAGCTTAAAGCAAAGGCATCTTGATGTGTCGTTGACAGGACGACCAACTCCCGTATCAAATAGATGGAGAAATTTCTGAAAGGGCCAAAGAAAGGCGGTCTTAAGATCAGCAGTTGTAGTTTTCACTCTGTAGTTTTTAGCCACCCTCTGTCCTTTGCTGCATTGGAAGGTTTCACGCTGGAAGTTTCATTGTTGATGCTGGCTTGAGAACAAAGGGTCTTACCAGTGTGCCTGGTGGTCAGAGCGTTTATTTTTGGGTGGGAGCTACGCTCGTGCAAGCGTGAGAAATGCATCATGGGGCAAAAGTAGGTTTGCAGTTGGGCGTACGTGAAACGGTCTATTCCTGTGGTATTATTTATTAATAACTGTATTATTTTCCATACACACAACTGTAAACCTACTTTATCCCAACTTGCATTTTATTGTTGCCAACCTTTCTCAAGTGTAGGCAGCTGGGCTTTTGGGGAGACGTTCTCAGGGGTTAGGAATGAGAAGTTGCCCCGAAGACCGTCACTCAGTGGGCTGGGCGTTGTTCTGCCAAGTGATAGGTTACCAGTTCGATTCCTGCTCAGGGCCCCAAGAAAAAAAATCAACAACCAAAAAACCCGAAAAGAAATTGTTTTTCTTCTCTTTTTAAAGAGAGGGAGAAAAACATCAACGTGTGGTTGCCTCTCACATGCCCCTCACTGGGGACCTGGCCCATAATCCAGGCATGTGCCCTGCCTGGGAACTGAACCGGCAACCCCTTTGGTTCACGGCCTGCCTTCAGTCCACTGAGCCACACCGGCCAGGGCTGTTTTTCTCTTGTCCCCAAAGCAATCTGTACCTAGTCTCATTAACACGTGTGTACTGACTTTGTTAGCACACGTTTTGGGGGTCCTTTCCATGTGTCGCGGCAGGTCCTGGGTGATGGGGATACAGCAGTGAATAAAACACTTCTGCTTCACGGGACTTGGAGACGAGTGGGAAAGACGGGTCATGAGGAGATGTGACGTTCGGTGGAGGAGTAACGAGTCAGTGTGCAGAGGGGTGGAGGCTGTTGCTTTAAAGCTGGGTAACACACGGAATAAGTTAAAATTACTTTATTTCTTTAAATTCTTTTAAAAAGATGTTATTTGTTGATTTTCTTAGACAGGAAGGGAAAGAGGAAGAGGGGGAGAGAAACGTCAATGTGTGGCTGCCCCTGTTGCGCCCCCTACTGGGGACCCACCCCACAAGACAGGCATGTGCCCCGACTGGGAATCGAACCTCCGACCCCTTGATTCTCAGACTGGCACTTGATACACTGGGCCACACCAGCCAGGGCAAGATAGGGTTATTTTAGATGGGGATTTAGGAAGCCTCTGAGCTGGGGTCTGAGGGAGGTGAGGGACCAGGCCACTGAAAGCCAAGTTCCAGAGAAGAGTGTCCCAGGAGCAGCAGGTGCAAAGGTCCTGAGACAGGAGTTCCTCATAGTAGAACCTGCTTAGCTGGGGCAGTGAGAGATAATAGGAAATGAGGCCAGACAGGAAGCGAGGGGTCATGTACTTCCCAAATTTTTGTTCCAGAGGCTTCAAATACTGAATTTCTTCTTTCTGTATTTGTCACATGGTGTCAGACTTGCCTCTCTCTTGTCCATCACCTGCTCCTGTCTCCCTTCTAATTGGTGGCCCCTGTCCGGTTGACTGTCTCTTCTCCTATGATCTTGATTTCCTCTCTTGTTTCCCCCAAGTGTCTGCTCACCTTTTTTCTCTTTCCCCAGGTTCAAGGATGGCCCAGCTGCTGCTCACGAACCAGCCCACCGCTATGGTGAGTGGGTGTCCCTGGGTGGGGTGAGGCAGCTGGCTGGGTCAGGTGTGGGGGGTGCTTTGTGCCATGCCCCCTACCCCGACCCCTCCTGGCTTCTGTTGCAGATGACCAGGCCTGGGCCCGGCCCCCCAAGCCCCCCACTTTCAGGGAGTTCCTGTCCCAGCACAAAGCTGAGGTCAGCCGCAGGCGGAGGAAGGGCAGCCGACCCCAGGCCAAGGCGGCGCCTCGTGCCTACAGGTGGGGGCACCGTTCCCTGCGCGTGCGCACACCCCTGGTGGGGCTGTGTGGCCCGCACCTGCTCGTTCTCTGACTTGGGTGTTTGTGGGTCTGTCTCTCCAGCAACTTGTCTCTCTGTGTGTCAGATGCTTGGTTTGGGGGGGTCTCTTCACTTTACCCCATCTGTCTCCTCTTCCTCTCCCACCCGTCTCTTCTGCCACCTGGTTCCCCCTCCACTTCATGTCCCCGACCCCCAGAGACACACACCCGCCGTTTCCTCCTGAGTGCCCCACCACGCCGACAGTCTGGAAATCTTGCAATGCCTTGTACTTCCTAAGTTGAATTTTGTACCTCTCCTCTGGGACCGAGCGGGAGGTTGGAAGCCCCTTCCTTCCTGTCCCCACCCAGGTCTCACAGCCCTTTCCCCTGACCTCCCCAGTGACCATGATGACCGCTGGGAGACGAAGGAGGCAGTGTCCCCAGCTCCCCCTGAGGCCCCGCAGCCCACTCCCTTGGCGGAGACGCCCGCACAGGTAAGGTGGCCTTATCTCTGGGCAGGGGCGTGGGGGGTGCATGGGGCCCACCCTCTCCTCCACCCACCCTGTGTCCCCACAGCTGCCTGAGACCCCTGCCCCTGCCCCCCAGCGTCCTGAGGACCAGGGGGAGGAGGACCAGGGGGAGGAAGACGAAGGTGAGGATGAGGAATGGGAAGATGTGAGTGAAGACGAGGAGGACATTGAGGAGGAGGAGGAAGAGGAGGCTGAAGAGGAGGAGGAGGAGGAGGAGGAAGAACCAGCTCACCACCACCACCAACCTCAAGAGTCTGAGCCCACCAGGAGCCCCAGCAGCGAGCAGGCCAACAAAGAGCCCCCCAGGCCTGAGGAGCCCCCACCGGTTCCCCAGGCCCCTGCCACACCTTCCAGCCCCTTCTCACCCTCTGGGGGCCACCAGCCTGTGTCCGACTGGGGCGAAGAGATGGAGCTGAATTCTCCCGGAACCGCCCAGCCGGCAGTTGCCCACTCTCCGGGTGAGGCCTGGCCCTTCGGATATGCATGAAGCTGGCTGCTTGTGTGTGTGTGTGTGTCCAAGGGGTGCGTGGGCAGGGGCACCCTCGGGCTGGGCCCCGAGATCCCATGTGCCCCACCGCCCCGGCAGCTAGGGAGGACCCTGCACACCGCGCTGTGTGCTGTCCTTACCCACCTTTGGAGTGCCCGCCCGCAGACACCGCCCCTGCTCTGGACGTTCCAGAGCTCCCTCCCCAATAAAGAGTTCACATTCAGTGACACATTCCAATGACACTCTCCAGGTGTGCACTTGAACCCCCCTCTCCATCAGGGCCTTCTGTCTCGGGGTGGGGAGCTACTTGGAGGTGGAAGGGCTTGACTGGGCCTCCTCCTCCTCCAGGAGGTGACCAGCCAGCCACTGCCTCCCTGGAGAGTGGGCCCAGCCTCCCCGGAACCCAGAAAGCTGAAGAGGAGGGGTCTGAGGCAGCTCCAGGTGGGGGAGCCCTCGGGCCCTGGAGGTGGCTGCCTGCCTTCCTCTTCCTCCGGCTGAGGGGAGGGGGCGGAGGGCGGAGTGGGGCTGGGCTCCGTCACGGGTGTGTGTTGCAGCAACTGGGCCTGGGGGTGAGGGGAGAGTGTTGGGGCCGCGCTGGGACTGGGACCAAGGTCGGGGGTGGAGCTAAGGCTCGGAGTTCCAGGCCTTGCGACTGGGTGTGCGGGCCTCTGGGGGTGAGGAGGTGGAGCCATGACAGCGTTAGGGTTTAGAGCCGGGCCTGAAGGGTTTTCGGAAGTAATCTAAAGAAAAGGGGCTAAGGGCGGAGTAGAACTCGAAATAGATTTTTTTTTAATGGGGAGGGGCTTTGTGATGGCTTTAGCTGTGAGCCAGGTACTTCCGGGGGGTAAGTTGGAATAGACCCCGTTAGAATGTTGCGTCCAACGGAGTAAAAGCCGGAGGCAGAACCCCGTTTCTCCACCTCCACCCGGTGGACGCTGGGTAGTAAAGCAGGCACTTCCCCCGCCCCCAGGGGTGCAGTTGGGATTTGGGGGCAGAGCCAGAGGTTAGAAGTCAGGACGTGGGCAGCTGCAGGTGGGCGGTCAAGGTGGAGGTAGGGTTAAGCCCGTGAGGTGGGGTGGGCTGGGGTCGGAGCGGACGAGTTTAGGATGGTGGGTGAGGCCAGGGTGCTTTAGCGCTTTTGCCACGTGTTGGCCAAGTGATTATGATACCGCTATACCAGTTTATTTTCTCGACTGTGAATAGTTCCGTGGCTTCAAGAGGCCACCGTAAGGATTAAAGGAGTCTGAGGCCCCCACTCCATTTGGCGCTGGGGGTAACTGCAGCCAGGCTCAACAGAAATGAGGGGCGGGGCTGGACGGGGAGGAGGGGGCGGGGCCTGTTGCCCTCCGCTGACCGCCCCTTCTCTCCACAGAAGTGGCCCGTGAAGGCCAGGAGACTGCGGAGATCACGGACTTCCAGAGGGTGCGTTTCTGCAAGGTGGTGGCTGCCGCCCCACCACCGGGGGCCGCCCGCTGACCGTGCCCTCCGACTCTGCACTAACTCCCTGCAGCCTCGCTCCTCTGTCCTCTGCTTCTGCCACGCTCCAGCCAGGAGAGGGTTAAATGTAAGGGGGGAGGGGCCAGGGACAGCTAACGGGGTAGGGTCCGCTCAACAGCCCGGGTCTTTCAAATGCGTGGCGCCAGGGCACCTGGATGGCTGAGAAGCCTCCGAGTTACCCACCTGTGGCAGCCCTGGTGGGTAGGTACTAGCCTCCCGGAGGAGATTCCCACCCCCCCGGACATTACATCTAAGGCGTGGCAACTAGCCAGTGACTCTTCCGAAGGACTTGAATTACTCGGCCCCCAGTTGTCTCTATTAAATGCAGCGCTTTCGCTAACCTTTGAACTGTGTTTCGGGCAGGGTAGCGGGTGGGGGTGGGGGGCGTGGCGTTGCTGTGCTTTGCAGGCTTTTCCGTGGTGGAAGAGGCGCGAAGAAGGGGGTTTTCCTTCCTCCACCCTCCTGATTTGTCTTCCCTCCCCCCTCCCGCAGGCCTCCCCGAATTCCTGAAGACGCTACTGGGAGGGCCCTGAAGCTTCCCTGCCTTGATGGGGGGGGGGCAGAAGGGGGTTGGTCTGGGTCTCCAGGCTGTGCTCTCTCCTTCCTGGAGCCCACCCTGGACCCCACGGTTTAGGGAGAGGGAGAAATTGAGGGTGGTGGGGGAGGAGCTGGGGAAGGGGCGTGATTGGAGTGTGAGGTGCAGCTGCAACTTCTGGATGTGAGTTTAGACCTTGGGACACATGTTTCGGAGAAGGAGGCCGGTCCCGTAAGGGGCGTGGTTAGAATTTCTGGGAGGGCCAGAAGTCTAGTGGGCGGAGTTAGAGTGCGGGTCCTGGGTGGTGCCACAGGAGCCGGTTTGGGTGGGAGTTCTTAACGCTGGTGTGGGGCGCAGCCACCTGTGGAGGGATTGGTTAGAATTCGGTGCTGGAGCGAGTGGAGTGCAGAGGAGGAAAGGAATGGAGCCTGGGATACAGAAGGTGAAGCCAGGTAGAGAAGATGCCGGAATCAAATGCTGGAGTATAGCCTGATTCTGTGAAAAACCAAGCTGAAACTGGGGCGAGGCTTGCAAGGGTCTAGCATAGAGAGGGGGATGAAAGCGTGGCTAGATTGCTGGAGGACTGAGTACCGAGAGGGGCCGGTGTTAGAGCGTGGAGAGGAGGCTTCAAAAAGAGGACAGAGGCGCTAAGCCCCGGAGCGGGCTTGCATTTCAGAGGCGTGGGTATAACAGAAGCCTGGCAGTCAGCTGGGCGGACTCCTGCCTTTGAGGAAAAAATAGGTATTGCAAGCCTGGGGTGGGGCCAAAATCCAGTGGGGCGGGGGCAAAGCGCCTGGGTTAAGCCTTAGCTTGACGCTGGTTGGCCGGAGGCTGAGGAGGGGCGGATCTAGGAAGCAGAGGGGGCTTGACCTGGCAGCGGTGGGACCAGGAGGATTTAGGACTGAGAGGCAGTCTTCTGAAAGGGGCTGGGCCTCGGGCGTGGGTGGGGCCTAAAGCGCGGGGGTGGAGCCTGCGCTGGGGCTTCGCAGGCCAAATGGACTGTGGAGATGCGGGGCACTAGCTGCGTGGGCGGCGGTAGCGAGAGCCCGGGTGGCTCAGGGCTGAGCGAAGGCCCGCGGGGTCGCTGGCTGCGCCTGGCCCCTGTCTGCGCCTACTTCCTCTGCGTCTCGTTGGCCGCGGTGCTGCTCGCTGTCTACTACGGTCTCATCTGGGTTCCCACGCGGCCCCACGCGGACCCCGCGGGCCTCGCGGGCCTGCAGCCGAGCGCACCCTCCCCTCCGTGCACTGCCCGTCAGGGTGCGCCGCCTGCACCGGCGCCCGCCGCTGCCTCGGTCTCTTGCCTCCTAGGAGTCCCTGGCGGGCCACGACCCCAGCTTGAGCTGCCACGCAGTCGTCGCCGCCGCCGCCACAGCGACCCTAGCCGCCATCCAAGCCACCAGATGCCCGGAGAGACGCCGGAAGCCCCGGAGGGGCGAGGACCGGGGTAACCATCCCTTCTACCCCAAGTCAGCCGGTCCGCCGGCCCTCGAGAGGACGCCCCCACCGTGGATGCCGGGTCTGGGCTGGGTCAGGACTCTCTTCATGAAATCGCCTAGCGCCTCCGGAACTGTCATCCTCAAGAACAGGGGGTGAAGGGGAGCTGGCTTGGGGCCTCGCCCTTCGCAGCGTCTCCGGTGCCTGGCTGAGTCCTCCACCATCTGGCGGAACACAACCTGACCTCTCTCTCCCGACCTTCTTCGCTCCATAGGATCTGAGCACAGAGCCCGCAGCCGGTCCCCCTCCTCTCTGGATCTCGGTGCCCGTAGGTCCACCTGCAATAAACTCCTGTCCCAGCTGCCTGGCGCTGTCGTCTTGTCTGCAGAGGTGGCTGCCCTCTCCAGCCTGCGGGAAGTCTTTCTTGGCGTCTGATCTTTTGTCTCTTTTGTCCTGGAGTGAGCTGAGTGTGTTGTCCCCTTCCATGGGAGGGGTCCCCCTTTTCTTCTTCCGTTATCATGTAGTTTTGGGGTTGGGCAGGAGAAAGAGGCCTATCTGCAATAGGGTAGCTGAAGGTCAGACAGTGTGAAGGACTTCACAGGGTTTTTTGCAGCTTGGGGCGGGGGACAAGTGAGAAACCGGGGATCCGCCCTCCTGTCTCCCCACAGGGGACCAGAGGTGGGAAGATTTCGAGCAACAACAGGGGTCCTGGGGTTTGTGCTTAGTGTCATTACCACGTCTGGGACAGAGGCCGAGTAGCGTGGGGACGGCAGGATGCGGCTGGGAGGGGACGGTCGGTGCCTTCTTCCCCAGGCCTGAGCGGGGAGCGCGCACGGCGCCGGCGATGGGGTTTCTCTGCCTCCCTGGAAATCAGAGGGCGCCCTCAGAGCACTGCACTGCCTCTGAAGGTTAGTCCGAGCTCCGGGGCTGCAATGCTGCTGGTAAACCAAGGCAGAGAAACCCAGGCCCTGCTCAGACACTCGGAGGTAGTTGAATCCATTTTCCTCCCTAGAAGACAGGCCCGGCTCCGGGCAGGGCACTGGACGCTCCACGCAGGGTGTGGTTTTCCTGTCCAGCCTCCCCCTCGGGACTAGAGACTGTCCCAGGAGGGCAAAATCGAGCCTTCTGGCTCGGGTTGGGGCATCCGTGGGCCACGACGGTGTTTGAGTCGTTTGCTTCGCTCCCCTCTGCCCCTCCAGGCTCAGTCCCCCGAGGGTGTCTCCAGAAGGAAGGGGGACTCAGGAAGCCAGCACCCCTTCGTGGCAAGCTTCGGCGGTGGCTAGGGGGGCTAATTGGGGGTCAGGATGTGCAGACTGAAATCCCAGCTTTTCCTCTCACCAGCTGTGTGACTCCAGGCGGGTCTCTCAACCTCTTTAGTCTTGTACAGTGAAGATAGAATATTAGTATTTATCTCATAGAATCTCTGTGGGGATCAGAGAAGCTAGGGATCCTGGAACAGCATCCTATTCCTCCTCCCCGCCCGGCTCTGTCCCTCGGGGCTTTGAAAAGCGAAGCTTGGATCCCAAGGTATCAAGTCAGCCCAAAGCTCTGGACATCAGCGAATGGTGGGTTTAGAGGGACTTCACCTCTGTTCCTGCCACCCCAACCTCCATTTCTATGTTTCAGCTCTTCTAGCCCTGGTTCTTAAAACTAAACAAAACAAACCCTCACCTGAGGATATGTTTACTGATATTAAAGAGAGAGGTCGGGGGGGGGAAGAGAAACATTGATAGGAGAGAAACATCGACTGGGCCTCTTGTACACGCCCCAACCAAGGATTGAACCCGCAACCTAGGTATGTGCCTTGACCGGGTCCTGAACCTGCAACTCTTTGGTGCACAGAACAATGCTCCAACCAACTGACCCACCGGGCCAGGGCGAACCCTCTTTCTCCTGACCTCTGGGCTTCTCTTCTTCTGTCCGTCTCTTCCCCCTCCTCTCCCCCACTTTTCTCTTTCTGTCTGTGTTCGCTTCTGTCTCCCAGTTTGTGTGTCCCTCCCTGACGTCTCCCAACGTTCCCTCTCTGTCTCTCCCTCTGCCTGACTCCCGGGCACATTCCATTAGTCGTTGCTTTCCCAGCTCTCTCTCTTATTCTCCCTTCCTTACGTTCTTTCTCCATCCTGCCCCAATACCCCCACCTTGCTCTCCTTTGCGGCCCCACCCTTCTTCCCCATTTCCCTCCTGGTCCAGCCTCCCCTGCTGCCCCCTGTTCTCCTCTTTCTTGTCCATCTTTCTGATTCTAGCCATCTGTTTCTGACACTCTTCTGTTTGCTATGCTTTAATTATGCTTTACTCTTTCATTTTCAAAGAATAATTTATTTAGAGAGAGGGGAAGGGAGGGAGAAAGAGGGAGAGAAACATCAGTGTGTGGTTGCCTCTCGTGAACCCCCGCCTGGGGGACCTGGCCTGCATCCCAGCCATGTGCTCTGACTAGGAATTGAACCGGCAACCCTTTGGTTTGCGGGCCAGCACTCAATCTGCTGAGCCGTACCAGCCAGGGCTAATCTTTCTTTTTAAAAACAGATTTTTTAAATTTATTTCTTTTGGAGAGAAGAAAAGGGAGGGAAAAAGAGAGGGAGAGAAACACTGATTGGCTGCCTCTCGCAAACACCCAACTAGGGGCCCGGCCTGCATCCCAGGCATGTGCCCAAGAATCAAACCGGCGACCTTTCGATTTGCAGGCCGGCAGTTAACCCTCTGAGCCGCACCAGCCAGGGCTTAATATTTCATTTAGCAAATATGTACTGAACATTTATAATGTACCAGGCCTTATTTTAAGCACTGGCAACACAGCAGTGAGCAAAACAGGAAAAAATTCCTGCTCTCAATGGAGCTGACATATAAGTGGGGAGACAGGCAAGAAATATGAGTAACTTAAACCTATATTCTGTCAGGAAATAATAAGCACAAGGGAGAAAAGTAATCGGAGTAGAGGTAATAGGGAGTCATCGAGTTGCTGGTTACTGGGAAGGAGCCTAAGAGGACTGTGGGCAGGACGTGGGGGAAGAGTTGCTGCAGGAGGTGGGAACAGCAAGTACAAAGGCCCTGAGGCTGGCGGGGCTTGGCTTGTTTGAAGAACAGCGAAGAGGCCAGTGTGGCTGGAGCTGAGTGAGTGAGGTGGAGAGCAGGGGGAGGTGCCCTGGGAGAGAACCGGGGAGATTGGGGAGATGGTGCAGAGACTCACGGTGAGGAGTTCAGCTTTCACTCTGAGCGAGGTGGCACCATGGAGGCTTCCAAGGTGAGGAGGGATGGGCACCAATCTAGTTACTAACAGGCCTGCCGCCTGCCGGGCGGGGAATGAACTGCAGTGCACGAGGGTGGAAGCTGGGACCCGGTGAGGAGGATGATGCTGTAGTCCTGGTGAGGGACCATGGTGTCTAGCCAGGGTGATGCTCAAAGAGGCGGGGAGCCGTGGGTGGTCAGAGAGAGAGAGAGAGAGAGAGAGAGAGAGAGAGAGAGAGAGAGAGTGTGTGTGTGTGTGTGTGTGTGTGTGTGTGTGTGTAAAATAAGCAAAGCATAAAAGAGTGATGCATTCGAGGCACTAAGCAGATTCACGAGGAGTCTCAGGCTGTAATACACTTCTGAGAAGCTCTGGGTGTGTCCGTCAACGGGGGCAGTGGTCCCGGGGTAGAGGTTGCCCATCAGAGGAGTTCTGGGTCAGGTAGGAACGAGCTGGAACTGGTACCCATTCTGCCTTGTCATTGGGAGCAGCCGGAGGGAGTCACGGCCTTGGCAACTTGGTGCCAGACAGCTGTGCTCGCAGCAGAGGGATCTGAGCAACACCTTCCCAGGGCCGCTGCAGGGACCTAAACTATTTCTGTGCGCAGAACCAACCTCACCCCCAAGCAGCCTCACTGGGTGCCCACAAACCCAGGGCCCTGTGAATTCTTCATTCTCACCCAGCAGCTATGCGGAGGCTTGGCCCCTACTGGTGAGCCAAGGGGCTTTCCCTCAGTCTGATTGGGTCAACTTGGGTCACGTGATATACCCAAATCGGGCGCTAATTGGTTAAGGCTTGGGTTTTTGAACCGCTCACTGGCAAATGAAGGCGGGATTACTCTGAAAGGTTTGACCAATCAAGACCCATCCTGGATCCGGCCAAAGGTAGCAGACATCCTACCTCTACCACCGAACCTCAAGGGCCGGGACTTCACTGGGCCATGAAGAACTGTTGTCCTCCTGGGTCCTGGGGTCCTCTCCCACGTCCACCCCTGGAATCCAAGATTTACAGTTACAGCAGGAATATATGTAGGTGCACTTGTGAGGGGGGCCGGCTAATAATCCCGCATCCTTTATCTGCAATTCCAAATTCCCAAAAGCTCTGACAACCAAAATATATTTTTTTCTGGGGGGAATAATTTTCGCCCAATCACACATGGTGGCAAATCAGCTAATATTAGCTATTGCACTCTTTATTCATATTCTTTGGTGTGAATTTTCACACACTTTGCTGCAAATATATTAACATGTCTGATGGGTAGGGGGCTGCTTCAGCTCTTGGGAGTGTTACATAATACATGCCATTTGCTCAGCATTACTTTTCTAAAATTAGAGCAGTTCTGAGTTCCGAGATGCGGCTGTCTCCAAGGACTTTAGCGAAGGGATTATGGACCTCCAGTGGGGCACGCCGCCAAACCTAAGTTCATCTTAATTATCTGTTCAACATTTATTTAATGGCTTTGGGCTGAAACTCATCTTCCATTACAATATTTTAAAAATAGAAAATGACGTTGATTTACTAAGCTCCCTTTGTTAATGTTATTGTAGTTTTAGTGCTGTGTGTATCTGTGTGTGTGTGACCATGTGTGTGCCCGTGTGTGAGGCTGTGTCTCTGTGGATGGGACAGTATTTCCGTGTATGTTCATATATGGGTCTGTGTGAGAGGTTGGACGGGGGGGAGGTGTTTGGTCATGTGTGTCTGTGTGTGATGGTGTGAATGTGAGTGACAGTGGTCTCTGTGTTTCTGTTTGTGTGTGAATGTGCGTGAGAGGAAGCGTGGTTCAGGGTTTAAAGTAAAGACCTTATTTCAGGCCACCGTCTGGGTCTCTGCTTTAAAATCCCAGGGGAATGGACGAGGTCAATTACACCGTGGAAAAATTGTTCACTGTCAAGCAATACCTTGTTTTTCCACTAGAGGGCGCCTGTCTAGTTGGGCCGGAAGAAATTTCAACCTTTTTTTTTTTTTTTTTTTTTTTTTTTTACCATTGAGTTCAGGAGAGTTTGCAATCCTTGCAGACAATGCCCAGAGCCACGAGTTCGGGCTCGCCCAAGCTGTCCGTGGAGGAGTGGTTATCACACTTGTTGGTCTTGGCATCTTTTACAACCTTAAAAATTATCGAGGATGCCCAAAGATTTGTTGGTGG